AATTAATTTCATTCATTAGGTTCAATTCTCACCCGATGGTTGTTATCTCTATTCGGTCTCTCGCAGAGAAGACTTTATATTCTGCTGGGATATACGTAACACTGGAGAGATCCTACACAAGATGGAAAGACCAGGACAAACTAATCAGAGAATATCATTTGATATAGATCGAAGCGGGCGATGGTTGATTACTGGCGATCAAGTGAGAAGAATGGTCCTGGCGACATGGTTGACGTTTGTGTCTTTGTATGCTAATTAATTGGTTAAATATTTAGAATGGTCGGATTCTATGTTATGATCTTATGAATCCGAACGACGAAGATTACAGTCGGTGTGTATTGGATTTTGTTGGACACAATGGTAATGTCTACGTTATTTTTTTTTACGGCTTTTAAAGCCTGTTCGTATGCATGCTTATATCCACTTTGATTACCTTTGCAGATTGTGTTTCCTCGGCTACTTTCCATCCCACACATCCCTTGATTGCCACATGTTCAGGTCAAAGAAAATTTCCAAATTACGACGATTCAGCCAACGAAGATGAAACCACGACTTTACACACAATTGATAACACTGTCAAGTTTTGGAAGGTTTCAGGACAATATCAATGGTTCAAGTACGAAGAGACGATAACAGAAGCGATAGAAGCGATAGAAGCGACAGAAGCGACGGAAGTGACAGAAGTGACAGAGGTGACAGAAGTGACGGAAGTGACGGAAGGGATGGAAATAGAGAAACAGGAAGAGGTTTCAACCATGATGACAGAAGAAATAGTAATAGAAGAGATAGAAGAGATGAACAAGTCTGCCTGACAACATAATCAGAGTTTAGATCATGTGAATCAGGCTTTCTGCGTAGATTCCCGTTAAAGACGATTAGAACATGCGCGTTTTTATTAATAAGGAATTTTTGAAAGTAATAAAAAACAACAAGTATTTTTATATGAAAAGAATATATCTTACACAGGCAGAAATTATATACTATAAAAAAATTGAAGTGCAGAGGAGTTGATAAACTATTTAATAAATAAGCATTGTATAAGGTAGCAAGATAATGTCACGCCCATTAATATGGGATTAATTGATTTCGGCGGTTGGTTCGTCATGATCTTTCTCGTTCTCGACAGCTGTTTCATCATTCTTACTCTCTAGCTCACTCCTCTCATGTAATTCTTCATTCTCGTCATTACTCCCTTCATTCTCATTTTCATTTTCTGCTTCCTCGTTTTCCTCATCATTTACGTTTTCCTCGTCATCGCTAGGTTCCTTATTGTCCTCTTCACCATGATTTTCCGTATCTTTTTCGCGACTTTCCTCGTTTTCTCTTTCAATAAATTCTACAGTAATCATATCTGGAGTTGTCACGGTGATTTCTGGTTCTTTTGCCTCAGTCTCTTTAATTTCGGGTATCTTCACAGATCCACTGTTAGACCTGGACTTTTCTAATTCAAGCTCTTGCTTAA